CGGTCACACGTACCCCAGCAGTAAGTGTGGCCATTGGTTGTATTCACATTTGTAAAGGGCACAGAAGAGGACCAGCAGGTTGTAAGTAATCAACAAACGTCAACTAGTATGTTAGTTATGAAATCTGGTAACCAACTCCCTTGAAAATAACAGCATTTCTCATAAAATATATTTAGTTGATGTAGAGTCCAGAAAACTGAAACAGGAGTTAAAATGAAACAACAAAAAGTCTGCGTTTTTTTCCTACTTTATGGTTTTTTTTATTGACTTGATGCTTGAATTAAATCCTTTGAGTATATTTCTTTCATTTTAAAAGGAGTTGCAGTGATTTCCACTGTTTTCAGATCTTTCCAATGCTGTGTAATCTTCAGAGGGAAGGCATTCATTGGCTAATTTCAACGTGAGGCTGTAGTTCCTTTCTAATGACCAGAGCTGGGGCTCCCCTACTCCCAGCTCGGTATACTCATACACTGTGTGAATATTTGGTTCTCTGAGCCTCAGTCTTCCCGTCTGTTAAACAGGAATAACACTTCCTGTTCTGGTGAGATTTAAGATGAAACCTCTTCACATAAGCAAAGGAATATTCATGTTGTTGCTAATTCTCTCTCCCGTGATCTTGTAACTCTTTCTAGCTTGTAGAAAAGCAGATCATCTACGACAGGGTAATACCAGCTGCTTGTGGTTCCCACATGTAACGTACAGGATTCTGAGCCTGTGCTTAGGCGTGTGACACCAATAATAACTATAATGATGGTATCATCTAGAATTCTTTTTGTCGTAAGTCACGAGCTTAATAAGAAAGGGCATTTATTGACTCATAAAACTAAAAAGTCAGGTGTAGACTTTAGGCACGGTTCACTCAAGGGTACCAAATGATGTTTCCAGGACTCAATTGCTTTTCATTTCTCAGCTCTTCTCCATTCTCAAGCTCTTTGTGGGTAAAAAAAAAAGGACAAAAAAATTACCAGCCGTTAAAACAGAAGTTCTGGTTCTAGGTCTAGCTTACATTGGCCTGAGTTAGGCCAAAGACCAAAGCTGCTGACTTGGCAAATGGACCATGGAGCTCTGACTTCCCAGCTGGGTCAGGGACACTTCTCAGTCTCGGTGCAGTCACCTCTGAATAAAGCACAAAGCCTGACAGTGGCCAAAGACCCGTTCTCCAAGAAAAAATTGAATTTTGTTATAAAACGAACAAATGGACCCTGAAGATAAATATAGCAGATGTGGAGTTACATGACACCCTTCCATAAATGTCAATTGAAATGAGCCTGAGTGTTTCTACCCTTGGCCCTGTGTGGACCTTTTAATGTGGTCAGCACACCACATGCCATACTGTCAGGGGAAGACAAACACTTTCCCGGACAAACTGTCAGGAATTAGGCTGAGCCTTCACGCTTCCCGCCTTCACTGGTGGCCACACACCTCTGCAATCCTTGTTGCCCTTCCCCGGTTCACCATATCCACTCTTGTTGGTCTGATGATGTATATGAATTCCTCTGACCGTCTGGCCCAGGTTTTCTATTCAAAGCTGGGTTCTGTGTCCCCTTTTGATTTTTGTATCCCCAACACCTTCCAGAGATACACATTTCCTCTGGGCCCCAGACTTTGCTGGGCCAACCCACCCATCTAATTTAAACGTCTGTAACAAACTCCTTTGACATGCCTTCCTCAGTCTATCAACAGTTCCTAAGGGGATAACCTGTCCACTGTTGTAATATCTCTAAATAGCTGTCTTCCAGTGTTCCGGTCTATGTATACAAAGGAGGCCACATGACTTGCTTCCAGAAAGATTCTGTAAAGAAATGACTACTTCTGTTTTAATTTTTGTATATATTAAATTGCCTTTTAGCCACTGTCCTCATTGCAAATATCCTCAATCATCCAACTAATCTTATTATACCTCTGTGATGATGAATTTTGTCTTCTTTCATCCAAATGCCTATCCTAAAAATTTTTTTCAACAGTCACTGCCTGTGTGAAATAGACCAGACAAAACTGCGGAAGAGAATTGAGTCTATTATTTGTAAAATTTCCAAAGAAAAAAATAATATCTTCACTTTTATCAGCTATAATGAAGTCTGCCACTCAGAAAATTCTAGAAAATACCTATTGCTTACAAATCGTATTAATTTTATGATTATTTTACTAATATTCTGCAACTAGAGAATAATCTCCTGCTCAGTGCAGTATATTCTGTGGGCAAGCATACCTATGGGATTATGAAGAAGGACTTGTTTGTTCAGGTCACACATGTGCTGGACATGATAGCACCATTGCCCTGCCATCCTTGAAGGGCACTTTTGTGTGCTCTATCTTCTTTAAACAATATTTAACAAACATTATTGGACACCTCAACTAGCCATTATAGAGAAAGTGAAACAAAATAAAAATTTAAAAACTCAAAGATATCATCCCTATCCTCAAAGCGTTGATATTCTAATGGCGTAAGTAAGAGATTCACCAGAGGAAAAGGTGTTAAGGAGCAAGACCCTCTTTTTCTGTATTGGAAGTGAAGGGGACATTGGCAGGCTAAATCAGCTTGTCACTACAACCTCTGATCTTCATTCTAGAATTTTCCCTTCTATTTTCTTCTAAGTTCTATATTTTATGATATTTAGCGTTTTCCCAAAAGCTTTTATCAAACATGTGGCTTGGGTATGGCTTAGATCTTTCATCATAGCCCTCCTTTATAAATCATATAAATATCAAAATTATGTAAATCCTCCATAGCAACCACATGGCAGATTATAATCAAATAAGTGCCTGCATCTTATCACCAAATTGATAAGAAAACACAAAGGGCTCCGAAGCAGAATCTTGGAGCAGCTCCAGCTGCAGAACATTATTGCTTTAGCAAGGAACCAGACCACTCCCCCAATTCTAAATGATTAGTTCATTAAAATATTCATTCATTTTACAACAATTTATCGAGCACCTACTTTGTGACAGTTGCTATTCTAAGGATAAAGTGGTAGGCAAAACAAAGTCCTTGCTTTTTGTGGAACTTACATCATATAAGCCCTGTTGTGACTGTGTCAATTCCAACTCATAGCGACCCTATAGGACAGAGTAGAAGTGCCCCGCAGAGTTTGTAAGGAGCAACTGGTGGATTCAAACTGCCAACCTTTTGGTTGGCAGCCGTAGCTCTTAACCTGTACACCACCAGGGCTCCTACATCATATTAAGGGGAAACAAAAACATAAATAGATACATAATAAAACATCAGATAATGTGGAAGACTATGAAAGAAGAAAGTAGGATGAGGGGATGAAGAGTGATGGATGTGGTGTTTTAGACAGAGTGGTAAAAATCTTTGAAAATGTAGCGTTTGAGGAGAAATATGCAAAGAGTGATATGAACATCTGGTGGAAGAGTTACCCCACCAAAAGAACAAAATATGTGGAAATGTAGTTCGAAATTCATGAAAATTAAGTATAGTAAATTTCAGGTCCCTGTTTTGACTTGACCCAGTTATTTGACCTACGTCTGATAACCAAAAGGCTGGCAGTTCGAATCCACCAGGTGCTCTTTGGAAACCCTGTGAAGTAGTTCTAATCTGTCCTATAGGGTTGCTATGAGTCAGAACTGACTCGACGGCAACGAGTTTGGTTTGTTTGTTTGTTTAAATTATTTGACATCATTCAAACATAGACTATATCCTACTCTTTAAAAAAAGGTTTCCCAAGAATCAAGGGAAGAAATCTCTTGTTAGCTTCAATAAACTCCTTGTTGAATGCTTCTGAGTCTTAAGTTTGCTTCTGCTAAACAAAGTACTTTTCCAGATAACCCATTTCGTTTTCTCAACAGCCTGTGAAGCTAGGTGCTGTAGTGATTCCCCATTTAACAAATCAGAGTCCGTAGGTGGTACAAACATTAATGTTCTGGGCTTCTGACCAAAAGGTTGGAGGTTCGAGTCCACCCAGAAGCACCTTGAAAGAAAGGTCTGGCAATCTGCATCCGAAAAATCAGTCATTGAAAACCCTATGGTGCACAGTTCTACTCTGACACACATAGGGTCACCATAACTCAGAGTCAACCCTATGGCAACTGGTTACTCCAAGGCAAAGAGAAGCTAAGTAACTTGCCCATGGTCACCAGCCAGGGTGGTCAAGTCTAACAATATACAACTTCTTTTGTAAATGAATTATTCCTTCTTTTTTTCCGGAGAACTTATTGAGTAGTTACTGTGTTGTATCATCTTTCTAACACAAAAGAAGCACCACCCCCTCATCAAATTGTGTCTAGTCTATGTGTAAAGACAAAACCAACCAACCCCTCAAAACTAGAGGAGTAAGTATGAGATGGTACACTTATGGGCACACAAGATGAATAAGTACGGAGTTAAAAAAAACAAAAGTGTTGGTTGAGGTTAATATGAGTTGAATGTGTCTTAGGCTAAACAAAAATGTTGAATCTAGTCTTCGTGTTATTCTTCTGCCCCTATCCATATAAGAAGCAGTTGCAGTAAGGGGAATGGTTAGCCTGGAGAAGCGAAGACTCGGGGAATTTGGTAACTGTCTACCAATATTTGAAGAACTGTCAAGTGGAAAAGAAATTAGATTTGTTCTGTATGTCCCCAGAGATGGCGGTGATGGAAAGATTTCACCACAGTGTAAGGAAGGACTTTCAAACACTGTGAGGAGGACTCTCGAGCTCTCCAAAGGTGGAACGGGCTCTTTGGGAGGAGTGCTCCAGGTCACGTAGGCGGGATGTCCTCTTCAATGACAACTTGGGCAAGGAATCAGGACAAAGATGGATGGATGGATTACAGGAACTGTAAGGCCTCTTTCAAGACTGAAAATTTATTATTTTATGAGTGTTAAAAGAAATTTCCATTAATATTTAAACTGCTTGTGATGTCCCTGTCTTTATTCAAGAGTATTTTCTGCTGTTAAATTTTTTGGATATCATTTCTACAACTCTGTGTGTTACTTCTGGTACTTAATTGATGATAAATAATCCTCTCAGGATCTACTTTATTTCTTGTTGGCCGTTTCTAGGTCTCCAGCCATACAGGAACTACAGCTTCACCATTACAGCTTGTACATCTGCTGGCTGTGCTTCAAGTGAACCTTTTCTAGGTCAGACACTGCAGGCAGCTCCTCAAGGTAATGGAAAAAAAATCCACGACTGGGGGAAGAGTTTTTCTATAGCATCTTGAAGTGAATGGTATAAGCTTTCTCATAAGAAACCAGAAAGAAGGAATAAAGTCGGTAGGTACAAAAAAAAAAAATTCTAGGTTCTTACTCTTCAGTCGTCATTGAACAATATGTAGCCTCCCAAGGTAAGTTTGCTTTCAATTCTTTAAACCTTTTAAGTTTTGTTTTCTGGGGAAAAAATACATTGTCTACTTGTATATGAAATTCCTCCAAAACTAGAAATCTAAACAAACGTTTACAGAGCAGCTACTACATAGCAAGCACTGTGCTGGGTGCTGCAGTTGACTAAAACATTCCCTGCTTTCAAGAATTCAGTCAAGTAGAAGTGATCGGACAATTATCCAAAACCTGTTTGAAGACTCAGAATCTGAAAGATGATGTTAAGAAAGAGCGAATGAATCAGCTTAATCAGAGGAGGGAGAGATTTCAGCCCACTGGGGACATCAAGAAAGTTTGTAGGTAGCAGATGACTGTGGAGACAGAGCGTGAGGAACAGGGATTTTGACAGATGAACAAAGGAAGAAATGTTCTGTGAAATATGACGAGGGGACGTCAAGTGGGACAGTCATCTTCTACAGCAATTTGGCAATGTCTATTAAATTTAAAATGCAGATTTCTCATGACACAGCAGTTCCATTTGCACTATCTATGCCAGGAAAAAAACCCTTCCGCAACTTCACAAGGAGGCGTGTCCCAGGATGTTAAATGAAGCATCGTTGGAAGTACTTTGGCAAAGTATTGGAGGCAATCTAAATGTCCATGAGTAGAGGAATTGCTAAATAAATTCAGATATACTCACATTGTGGAATTCCACAAACCAGTTTTAAAACTGAGATAACTAACCCCAATATAAAGAGGACGTTATGGAAATGTATTTAATGTATGTTATCGTTTACGTGGAGTCCCTGAGGGGTGGAAACGGTGAACACGCTCGGTGCTAGCCTAAAAGCTGGTGGTTCAAGCCCATACAGAGGTGCTTCAGAAGAAAGATCTAGCAACCTACTTCCCCCAAATCAGCCACTGAAAACCCCGTGGAGCACAGTTCTACTCTAACACGCATGAGGTCACCAGGAGTCAGAATCGAGTCGACAGCAACTGGATTTTTCAAAATTATCTTTTAGGTATTAAAAAGCACACAGAAAATGTTATTCATTTCTCTAGGTGAATAACTACATGTACATAGAAAAAATTCTGAAAGGATAAACACCAGAGAATATCAATGGCTACCTTCATCATGGGGCATCATGGGAGCTAGATTTGGATGATGTCACTTACATTTAAGAGAAAAATATGCTCATTAGTTTGTTAACTCATCATCTCTCTGTTTTCCTTGTGGGGAAACTGAGGCATATACAAGTTTCTAAACAGTAATATAATGTTAATTACCACAGTGGGGTCCTGAACTACTTGTCCATTACTCCTCTAATGGAAGAGGTTGTTGTACCTCAGAATATTAGACCTGAATTTCCTACCAGTAAATGGGGAATAAAATGGAAAATTCCACATATGGGGCATATGGCTGCTCACCAGGAATTCACTAATGATGTTTTCTATATAAAGAATGTTGCATGTCAAAAAGCTTAGTGTTCCTTTGAAAGGAAGAAACCAGCAGTGGATTTTTTGGAAAGGTAAACTATCAAATGGATACTTTGATGATAATGGATAATCTCTAAAGGATCTATCAACCAGTTTTGGCTGAAACTAAAGCCTGATAAAATAACAGGATCTCTTCCTCTGGTTTACTCCACCAAATCCATGTATTCAAATTCTTTGAAAATATGCATCTATTTTTCCACTTTCCCTGACAAAATTTCTTGAAAGAGCTCAGATTTTATGACCTAAAAATTATAGCTTTCAACAGTGCAAGGGAGTGTGAGATGAGAAATGTCCTTGATTTCTTTTTTAACTTTATGCACCTTTCCTTTATCACAAATAACTATACAAAGAAATAATAAATTAAATAGGTTTTACTCTGCAGAAGAAACATGGGTTTAGAATCTATTTTCTGACTATGTAAGTGTCATCTGTGATTAACTGATATGTAAAAATAAATATAGTCTGAGAGCTTAGCTTGGGGCTTGAAAGGGGATAAAGCAGCAATAACATTCAATTCTGTTGTTTTACTGTAAAGTGAAAATAAGCATATCATTTCAAATTACCAATCCAATATGACTAACTAGCAAATGGAATTTTGAAGTGAATCAGACATAGTTTGAAGGTCTACTATTGGAGTGTGTCTTAATAGGATATGGAGAGAATTAAAGGAAATATTTCTTGATAGCCACCCTGAACGCTGCTTATTTTCTCATTTTCTTTAAAAAAAAAAAAAAAGGAAAAAAACAAGTTACTACACGTCACAGCCTCATTGATAAGTTGGACATAGTTCTCTACAATTTTATTCTCTAATTGTGTACCTTTAGTCAAATAGTGAGAAGAGTTGGGACTGGATTATCACTCTGTTTAGAATCACTGCCGTTCCTGAGAGGGCTAATCTATTTTAGAAGTAAATTACGCAAACTTGTAGGTATGCTTTCCTCTAGCATTGATAACACGTAAAAGAAAAATGAAAAGAAGGCAAGTCTTTCTGAATTTCTCTCCAAAGTTCTCTTCCTCTGCCCTTCTTTTAATTGATGATATTCCCTTGGATTCTTCCACCACACTTTGCTCTACCAACTCCATCCACTCTCCGCTGGAATTCTCAAATACTGCCTTCAACTCCTACATGAAGGCTCGTAGCTACAAAATACTATGGTTCTAGCCAAGGCCCCATTCACGAATGCCAGGCCTATGTATCCGCTGGTCTACTAGATGTTTATAATCGGATATTTTGCCAATATTTCAACACTTAAATAATCTTGTCTCTACTTCCACCCTACCTTCCGCTTGATCTTTTTCTCTTTCCCTCTCAGGGACCACCATCCACCTAATCACCTAAGCCCCAAACTTGATATTCTTAATGCTTCACTTTTCCTTAAACTGTAATATGCAGTGGGTTATATAATCATATAATTTTTTTTTTTTTTATGTTTATTGTCTGTCGCCATTTAGGGAAATTCCTAACAATTATTTAGGTTTTATTTCATTCTACAGGCTGGTTCTCTAGAATAAATTGAAGTTTGCTTAGTGATTGCTGAAAGTGAGGTCATATAATCTTAACAATTTTTGAGGATTTTTTTTTTTTAATGTATCTTTCCTCCCCATCCCTTCTGCCATTGCCTTAGTCCAGGCTCCTATAATTTCTCTGGATCCTCCTAACTGGTTTCCCTGACTCTACTCATTGTTCTCTTTCCCAGATCCCCCATCCCAATTCCTTTTCCCATTTTACTAAAATAAGCATATCTCACAGCAATCACCTCCATTAAAAAATCCCCATTTCCTTCAAGGAACAAAAAAATCCATTAGGCGAAACAGACCTTTTAATTTCTGCCAATCTGTCAAGTCCCATACTTCCCACCTGACACCCACTGCTGCAGCCATGCCAAGGTCCTTGCAGATCTCCCAGGCTCTCATATCTCTGGGTCATTGGTGGGCCCCCCTCAGGCTAGGTACCTTTCCCCAGTATTCTCGTGGTAGGTGTTCTCCAGGGCTGTCTCAACAAAGTACCTCAAACAGGTGGCTTAAACCAGAAGAAACGTATTCTCTCACAGTTTGGGAGGCTAGAAGTCTGAAATTCAGTTGTCCGCAGGGCGGTGCTCCCTCCAAAGGCTCTAGGGAAGAATCTTTCCTTGACTTTTCCAGATTCTGGTGGCTCCTGTGAATCCTTGCTGTTCTTGGCTTGCACCACTCCAGTCTCTGCCTCCATCTAAACGTGGGTTTCTTCTCTGGGTCTCAGTCCACTTCTTAAAAGGATACCAGTCATTGGATTTAGGACCACCCAAATCCAGTATGACCTCATCTTAATTTGAGTATTTCTACAAGAACTCTATTGCCAGATAAGGTCACATCCTGAGGTTCCAGGTAGATATGAATTTTTAGGGGACACTATTCAACCCACTCCACTCACTCAGCTAACTCCCACTTTTTCAGATGTGTCCTCTTGTGTAAACCTCCCCCTATGACCATTTCCACTTCCACTTCATCCTGTTCTCACCTCACCCCTCAGTCTGTGTCAGGTAGCCTTCCTAAATGCTCTAATAGCACACTATGCTTCCTTCTCTCATAGCTTTTATCAGAAAGGATTGTAAGTTTTTCTTTCTTCATCATGACACCGTGAATTCCTTGAAGGGTAAGGACTATGTTCTTTATGCCCATGCCCACAGTGCCCAACACAGTAAATGATGCAAAATGAGGTGGAAGGTTAAATGAATAAATTAACACATATAGTATACAGTTTGGAAGCCAAGGCATCCTTGACATCAGCTGATGCAAAACTTGCTCCCTCTATCAGCTTCCAGGAGAAAGCCAATCCATAAGGAATGTTGGGATTTTTAAATTGGAATGAAGATTTGTAGGGGCACAGGGAGTGGGTAATATTGCATGGCACCCAGGAGAAAGCCTATCCGTAAGTAATGTTGGGATTTTTAAATTGGAATGAAGATTTGTAGGGACCCAGGGAGTGGGTAATATTGCATGGCACCCAGGAGAAAGCCAATCCGTAAGGAATGTTGGGATTTTTAAATTGGAATGAAGATTTGTAGGGACACAGGGAGTGGGTAATATTGCATGGCACCCAGGATCAATTTAAAGCATTTCCAGGAGGCATGTTTCTTTTCCAGTAGCTATTGTCCCTGGGTGATGCGAATGGTTAAACACACAGCTACTGACCAAAAGGTTGGTGGTTTGAGCCCACCCAGCGGCATCTAGGAAGAAAGGCCTGGTGATCTGCTTCCGAAAGGTCGTGGCCTTGAAAACCCTATGGAGCACAGTTCCACTCTGCAACATGTGGGATCACCAGGAGTCGAAATTCAGTCTACGGCACCTGGTTTGTTTTTGCTTTTATTGTGTCGTGCGGCCCAGCAGCATTCTCCTTCTGACGTTTCCCCTTCATAGCTCTCAGCTGGCTTACCACCATCTTCCTAGATGGTTTCCCTAACTGCTGTCCGTGCCCTTCCCTTCAATGGCCTGGACTCTGCCTCTTTATTATGCAGATAGGTTTTCTGGTGCCCACCTGAGGCTCAGGTTGGGATGGGGCTGGAGCAGATCCCTCATAGGAGACACGCCAAGGCATCACACCAAAGGTGGGTCTCCCTGTACCACAGACTTCTCACCACTGCCAAGATAACAGCATCTCCGTGTCATTATGCAAGCAGAATAGAGCACTTATGAGTTATTTTGCACATTTTGAAATTCATCTTATCAATCAAACCAGTGGACACAGGATTATTACCAACACGGATGGAGCTTTCACCACCCTGTGTAAATGTGAACCTCAGCTTTTATTTAAAACTTGAAGCAAATCCAAATTTTGCTTCATTTTATTTCATCAGCTCTAGCACTTGACTCTGTGTCTATAGGCTGCATTGACTGTTTCTAGAGCCTTGGTGATTTGAAATACATCCTTCAAGGTGAGAAGACATGACTATAGGAAGCAGATTATGAGCTAAACTTTATATTTATCTCTTGAATCAACAAATTAATATCATGTTTAAATCAGAACTGTAATTAGTTGGTTGCGTCATTGGGCAGCTGTTGGCAGAGGAAGCTATACACGTATGCTGTTATTTGCGGGTTTTCCCAAGCATCCAGCATAAAGCAAGCTCTTAGAACAGAATGAGCTACCTTCTCCTCAGGAACACGTTGCTCCTTAGAATGTCTGTAAGTTGGGGCCATTTAGAAATTTATCTTGATTCTTTTAGGATGCTACTAAATAAATTACGTTTGAAGGTCATGAATTTTTTTCTTCGGAAAGTGGCAAAAGCTTACCCTTGCAGCGCAGCTTACACCTGAGATACAATCAACCAAAAACTATTGATTCCAGGGAACCTGATATGGAAATGAGTTTTAAAAGGCAGCAGAAGAGTTACCGTGTCCATTCAGAGCATACCTAAGTGACATCATAAAGTGGTAGGATTGAGTTTTCACATCTCTGGGTTCTCCATCAGTACGTTTGTACCTCTGGAAGAGTATTTGAATGTTCAACCTTGAATTGCAGATATTTGTGTGTCTATTTTATCTGTTATACAGAAGGGTAAACCTCTTGAGACAATGAGCATGTCTAAGTCATCTTTGTATTGTATAGAATAGGTTAGAGTGCTTAACAATATTTTACACGAGCTATATTTACAATAAATCCATTCATTCACTTATTAGACATTGCAATATCCATAAAGGTGCATTGACAAATAAGACAGAAGACCCCTGCCCTCTTGGAGCTAACCTTGTGTTTGAAGCAGGAGGGATGGAAATGTCAAGGAGGCGGTGGGATTCATGAGTCTGGAGCTCGCGAGAGAGTGTTAGTCTAGAGATATGCGTCTGTCCGTCTTCAGTATATGTTGTTGTTAGTTGCTGCCAAGTCAGCTCCGACTCATGGCGACCTTAGGTACAACAGACCACAGTGTTGCTGGTTCCTGCGCCATATTCATGATTGCTGGTATGCTCTGGTCCACTGTTGTGGCCACTGTGTATTTTTAGTGCATTCCAAATTGGGGGCTCATCTTCCAGCACTATATGAGACAGCATTCTGTTCTGATCCAGAGGGTTTTCATTGGTTAATTTTTGGAAATAGATCGCCAAGCCTTTCTTCCTCGTCTGTCTTAGTCTGGAAGCTCTGCTGAAACCTGTCCACCATGGGTGACCCTGCTGGTATTTGAAATACTGGTGGCATGGTTTCCAGAATCACAGCAACGCTCAAGCCTCCACAGTACAACAAACGGACGGATAGGCGGTGGCTTCAGCATACAAATCCATTGCTGTCGAGTCGATTGTAATTCATAGCAACACATATGGAAGAAGTTTAAAACTAAGATACTACGTGGAGCTCTCCTAGGAAGACAGTGTTGGAAGAGTAGAGGAGAAGAAAGAAGGAGGGGATGGAGAAGAGGACAGAATGTAAACCCCTGTGGCACTGTGACTTTCCAAGGTCCGAGGTCCGGCAGGGGAAGAGAAGCCAGTAAATGAGCCCTGATGGAGTAGTCAGAGAGAAAGGAGAAGAACAAGCAGAGAAGTGAAACAATGCTTATCTGTTACACTGTATAATTCAGGCAAATACTAGATTATAGTTACTTCCACAAATTCCAGGTAAATAAGCATTAGAGTTTGAAATCCCTGAATAGTCTCCCAGGACTTGATTTAAATTACACTCCAAGTGACAGCCGACATGGAGGAATTTCTGTGTTCTCTGATGTTCACTTTCTAAAGGCAATTCAAAAATAAAATAATCAAAGCAATAAGCAAATAAATGCGTTCATCCTCAATTATGTATCTCACCTCCAAAGTAAATAAAGTGTATTTTTGCTGCTCAGTGGCATATTTTTTATGAACAGATAAAAAAATCTTAGCTTGTGAGCTAATTGTGTGACTTTTACCCTAACAATAATACTTTGTTGTGTGATTTTTCCCAGGAGTTTGGGTGATACCTCGACACATCATCGTCAATTCTACGACAGTGGAGTTGTATTGGAGTCAGCCAGAAAAGCCCAATGGCCTCATTTCTCAGTATCATTTGAGGCGTAATGGAACCTTGGTTTTTCTGGGTGGCGGTGAGGAGCAGAATTTCACTGATAAAAACCTGGAACCCAACAGCAGGTAAACTAAAAGAAAACTTGACCAATCATCCAGTAAGATTTTCAGATTTTTGAGGAGGCTGAAAAATATTACCTTTCCCAGGGAAACAATATTAAATCAATCAATCCAATGATCATCCAGTCGGCTCCTTCTTCAGCCGTTCTGTAGCTGATGAGATCTTTGCATCAGTTTCAGACGTCAAAGACCAGGTACTAAACCATTAAGTTAAACTTCAGATTACATCAAATTCCTTAAAAATGTAAGTACATATTAAATCATGTGAATTAAACACTAGATCCTGAGAATTTTTATGTAAAAAAGTGTTAAACCTTAAAAATTATCTTCAAAAACAGACTTTCTGAAACTAGCAGTAAAGGAGATTTTCAGAGCTGTGTTTTACGTTAGGTATCTTTTTGATTAGTATAATGTTTTCTCCACTTGCTACACTACATACAGGCATGAGAAGTTTTAGGCGAGAAAGTTCCATGTATTTGCAATTCCTTCCCATTCATTTCTCAGCAGACACAAAATATATTTTAGAGCAACACATGTTTTATTGTAGAGAGTAGAGATCGATTTAGAAACACATTCCTCTAGGAATGATTCCCTGAACTCTCACCCATTTAAAAACAGAGAACATTAGTCTGAATCCCCTCCACAATACCCCTGCACATTCCAAGACTTTCCTGAAATCTTTGAGAAAACCTGTGAATTACTGTTGTTGTTGAGTGCCATTGAGTTGCTTCTGACTCATAACGACACTATATGACAGAGTAGAACAGCCCCATAGGGTTTCAAGGCTGCCATCTTTATGGGAGTAGAACGCCAGGTTTTTTCTCCTTTGTAGCCGCTGGGAGGTTGGAACCGCAGAGTTTTAGGTTAGCAGCCAGGTGCTTAACAATGGCACCACCAGGGTCAGGGTTAAATATAAAGTCGGGAGGGGCAGAAATGGTGATGGTCTGGAGAGAATACTGTCTTGTGCTGAAAAAACTACGAAGCCTAAGGTAAAGTTTCTGGACAGGGAGTAAAGGATTGACAATTTGCCACAAATTTAGGACTAAGCAATAGATAGAAAAGCCAGCAGTCTTTGTTCAAGTCTCCTGTGCATTGCCTTATCATAATTCTTTTTTTTTTTTTTCTTTTTACCTATAGATATGTTTACAATTTAGAAGCTGCAACTGGAGGTGGCAGCAGTGCTAGTGATGATTATGTTCTACAAACACCTGTATGGACACCAGAAGAAGTCCATTCTCCATATAATGTAACAGTGAATGGGCCTTATTCCATATTTGCAGCTTGGACGCCACCAGGTAAAGAATGAAAACCTCTCTCTTTCTCTTTCTGTATGTGTGTGCTTGTGTGTGTGAAATATTTTAGAGGAAATTAGAGATAAAGATGGAAATTGGAATTTAGTAAATCAGAAGGATATTGCCTGTCTCCTGGATAAATATGAATAGAGTAATCACATACCACACTCTTGGGTGTATAAATGCATGAATACACAGATACACCTTTCTATCAAAGCAATACTTTGTTTCGAGTACGAGGTCCTAAAAATCTGTCTTCTTACTCATATATATTCAAGGCAAGTCATACAGGTTGGAATTACCTTGAACATTCATTTGCACAGGACTCTAGATTGGATCATTGGCATTATAGCCTTCCCTCTATAGTACATTGTGAATGAGGAATTTGGAAAGACAATAACCCTCTCTGCCCGTAAACCTTGAGCGGAGACTGGTTATGGTAGCTGAATTTTGCCTCTCTAAGCTGTGTAGCCTCCAATGAGCCATTTAGTCAGTGGTGGGTTGCTTTTGTGATTTAGCACATTATTATATTGTGATGTAAGCAGATAAAATCCTGATTGTATTAACACTGTGGAGTAAGGATTAGAGTGAAGATACCTTGCTCTCTCTTTTAAAATAGGGAAAATGGAGATTTTGTTTCAGTAAAATTTAGAACTAATTAAGGGGTTAAATGCACTTCAAAAATATGTAATTTTATTTTTAATATCTAGTCTTAAGTTGAAACTGAAACAAACTCTTAATGTCCCCATCAGAATAAGTTTAACCAAAGTTCAGCTATAACAATTGGTTAACAGAGTCATTTTGGCCATTAACAGATCGATTCCATAAAATAATTAGCAGAACCAAATTTTTCATCGAATTAAATAGTCATCTCAGTCAAAACAAGCAATATGGTCATAAAGATAAAGACCTAACATACAGACCTCGCTGGGTGGTGCCATCAGTTTGCAATTGGTGGTTTTAACCCACCTGTGGGTTCCCAGAAGAAAGACTTGGTAAACTGTGCAAAGATTACAGCCAAAAAAACCCTACGGAGCAGTCCTACTCTGTAACACATGGGTTTGCCGTGGGTCATAATTGACTTGATGGCAATGGGTTTGGTTTTGAGTGTTTTGGTGTTTTGGTTGTTGTTCCCAGTTGCTGTTGAGTCAACTCCAACTCATAACAACTCTGTGCATAACAGAATGGAACATTGCTTGGTACTGCCCCATCTTCATGATCACCGGTGCGCTCCAGTCCATTGTTGTAACCACTGTGTGTTTTGAGTGCCTTTCAACCTAGGGGGCGCATCTTACAGCACTAAATGAGACAGTACTATTGGCAGAGCTTCCAGCGTAATAGTAGCATGCAAGTCACCACAGTATGACAAACAGACAATACAGTATGACCAACAGGTGAATGTAGACCTTAAATTCTCATAAATCTGCATCTTTATGATGTCATAATCTAAGGTCAAAGAGAGAAGGGTCTTTATTTGCTCGAATTCACAAGAGAAAATCTTCCAAGAACTTTGTAAGTAAAGAAAAATTTAAGTTGCTCTAAGAGATTAAATATAAATGATTCTATTCACCTTTGTTTTTTAAAAAAAATGCAACATATTAAATTAGGCAAACAGAAAGGAGTAATGAATAGTTCCAGAATGTATCATAAAGTGCCATAATCCTTATCTAAGTTTTAGAAGCATAGTTATTCTTGAACTCTGTTCTTAATTTCAATAGGGGAAACACAAATCTTGTTTTCCTGAAAAATATACAAATGCACATCTCCCCTCACAGAGCTGATTTCTACTTCCATGAAATAATATTACTATTTTGCGACCTTTTAGCATATTTCTCCATGGCAGTTTTCTAGCGCTATGTGGTTTTGCTCCAGGAAGTAAAATGAGGCTAGATACAGCCATTCTGAGACCAGATTCAGTCTACTGATCAAACATGTCCCAGATTCACACCAGGACCTTCTACAGTCCGCACCCTCAAAGGCCAACGAGCGGAAGTCCAGGATGATAAGCAAAGTTGATGATTTCCTAGCCATGCAAATAGGAAGTCCCATGGTTTATCAAATCATCTGTTAGTTTGACATTTATATACACAGAAATGGCGTTCACTGATCTGAAGACTTCACGTTCAGTGCAGATTTAAAAACATCTTTCTCTTAAGGCAGCCAAAGCAAGACGAAACAGAAAGCCAGGATTCATATCCCAGTATTGCCACTTATTAGCTGACTTTACACAAGTCCATTTCTCTCTCTGGGCCTCAGTTTTCTCCATCGGTAAAGTGGAGATAATGATAGTACCTACGTGTAGGGTAGTTTTAAAGATTAAAGGAGGTAATTGAAATAATTGGCATACATTATCTGATTCCATATAATATCCTATAGATTGTGATTATTATTGTTGTAGAATCAATTTTTGCCCTGCATTATTTATTCGTTTTTTAATGTATTTGTGCCAGCATTTGCCAGGGTCTCTGCAGGATTGGGTTAGTAAATTTTCAAACCTTCTTCCAAATGTTTCAGCATTTTGTTTTTTCTTTTTTAATTCGGCATCACATTTTATGTTTAATGTTTCCATGTAGAAAAGGACAATTGTAGAGTAAAACACAATTTTTTGCTTGCTTAATATAACATTAACTCTTGCCAACCTCTGGCTTTGTAGAACTTTTTCATTCTAGTCCAGCCTAGCGGACATTGTGGAAATGCTATACGCACTAACTCTGACCATTTAACCAATGGTTAATAAATCTGTAATACCCAGACCTGTCAATCTTTTAGTTTCAGAAGCACAAAATCCATTACAGAGACCCTGTAATATATGGAAAGATGAAAATCTTAAATTAAATTTTTTTCCTGGTGCCTAGAAGGATTTTGAACTCAGTAAACAGGCAGATGATTTTGACTTGTGTATAATCTTCAGTTGATTTTATTGGAAAATGCCTCATGCTGTGTTATGATTTGGATAGTAAAAACATTTTTCTATTCCTGAAGAGTCACAAGTATATATTTTAAACAGAAAACAAACTTGCTGTAAGTGGAGGTTGTTTATTTGCTTACATTCAAGAGCTTTCTAGGCATACACCATACTTCCTTGACATTACAGAATGATTACACCATGGGCAGAGCTGAATAATGTGCCAAATAGTCCATATCTATACTTCCCAAACCTGAACAAGCATTAAGAATCTACTGGTAAACTTGTGCAAAGACAGATTCTCAACCCCAAATTTACTGAACCAGAATCTAACAAGATGTAGTCAAAGAATCTAAATCTTTTTAAAAACTCCCCAGATGACTTTGATGTACTCCCAAGTTTAGTAACCTTGGATCTTACACATCAAGTGGTTAATTATAATAATTCTCTGAAAACATGAGTCAGACCAGTTTCTCCTGAATGTCTAAAGCCAGTATAGTTGATATACTAACTGTAATCTGTTCTGTGGTCAGCACAACTTTAGGCAGGTAAGTTCCTGGGAGAAAAAAAGTCTACGTAAGCATCAACCTGTATGGAAACAGAAAAACTACCTAGGTAATTAACTGCGTCTTAAATTTCCTAATTATTGTTTTAATGCTATCTTTAGATTGCCATAGTACATGTTTAGACATACTCCTAGTTAAAAGGCTAAGGTCTAGAGAATATATGAGAATATCCAGGGGGAAGAATAACTGTGATTATGTATATATCATATACAGGTATTATCGTATATCTCAGAGATATTGTAGGTTCCTTTCCAGACCACCACAATAATGCAAATATCACAACAAAACAAGTCACACGGATTTTTTGGTTTCCCAGTGCATATAAAAGTTATGTTTACACTATACTGTAGTCTACTAAGTATGCAACAGCATTATGTCTAAAAAAAAGTACAGACCTTAATTAAAAAATACTTTATTGCTAAAAAAATGCTAACCATCATCTAAGCCTTCAGGGAGTCATAATCTTTTGCTGGTGGAGGGTCTTGCCTCCGTCTTGATGGCTGCTGACTGATCAGGGTGGTGGTTGTTGAAGGTTGGGGTGGCTGTGGCCATTTCTGAAAACAAGACAACAATGACGTTTGCCACATCGATTGACTCTTTCTTTCATGAAAGATTTCTCTGTAGCATGCAATGCTCTTTGATAGCATTTTACTCACAGTAAAACTTCTTTCAAAACGGAAGTCAGTCCTCTCAGATCCTGCCGCTGCTTTATCAGCTAAATTTATGTAATATTCTAAACTTTTTGTTGTCATTTCAACAATGTTCATAACATCTTCACCAGGAGTGGATTCCATCTCAAGAAACCACTGTCTTTGCTCATCGGTAAGAAGCAACTCGTCATCCAAGTTTTATCGTGAGATTGCAGCAATTCAGTCAAGTTTTCAGGCTCCACTTCTAATTCTAGTTCTTTCGCTATTTCCACCACATCTGCAGTTACTTCCTCCACTGAAGTCTTGAACCCCTCAAACTCATCCTTGAGGCTGGAATCAACTTCTTCCAAACTCCTGTTAATGTTGATGTTTTGACCTCCTCTCATGAGTCATGAATGTTCTTAATGGCGTCTAGAATGGTGAATCTTTTCCAGAAGATTTTCAATTTAGTTTGCCCAGATCCATCAAAGGAATCACTATCTATGGTAGCTATAGCCTTTAAACGTATTTCTTAAATAGTAAAATTTTTAAAGTCAAAATTACTCCCTGATCCATGGGCTGCAGAATGGATGTTGTGTTAGCAGGCATGAAAACAACATTAATCTCTTTGAATATCTCCATCAGAGCTCTTGAGTGACCAAGTGTGTTGTCAATGAGCAGTGATAGTTTGAAAGGAATCTTTTTTTTTTCTCTGAGCAGTAGGTCTCAACAGTGGGCTTAAAATATTCCTTAAACCATGTTGTAAATGAATGTGCTGTAATCCAGTCTTTGTTGTTCCATTTATAGAGCACAGGGAGAGTAGATTTAGCATAATTCTTAAGGGCCCTACAATTTTCAGAATGGTAAATGACCATTGGCTTCAACTTAAAGTCACCAGCTGCA